GGAAAGCTTATAATTGTTCCCATAGAAGTATGATATTTAATTGAAAAGTAATGTTAAAGATGTTAAGACTTTAATGAATATTAATATTAATGATAGAATTGAATTGGAATGGAATGTTGTTTTAATTATATACATTTATAATTTTTTTCTTTTTTTAAGAATACAGTGTGTATTTTAAGAATGTACCAAGCAGAATCCGAATGGAAGTTATGCATTATATTGAATGTTACAACTTTAGGGAAAAGATATAAAGGTGTCATACTCCAATCAGTAACTACAGGAGAAATTTTGTTTAATGAGAAAAGATAATAGATAATTGAAACAGGACAGACAAAAAATATAAATACAATGATTTGAATTGAGATGAGATAATTAAAATAAAATTGAGAAAATTAAAAGAGGGGAGAAGCTATGCAGAGAATATAAAATAGTAATAAGATACGGAATAGAATATAAAAATGAGCATGAACCTGAAATGTAACCCGGGATTATGCTGCTTTCAAAAAAGATGTTTTATTTGTATTTTTTCCTCTTTGTGAAAACTCAAATAAAATTTACAAAAAAAAAGAGTTTATTTAGTGACTGTTCAAACTTACAATGTTACTGAAAAAAATGACGTAGGCTATTTTTCACACGACCATTGCAGCATCCTCATGGTCATGTGATCAAAACTGATCTATATTTATGATGGAGGCAGTGTCCCGGGATTGTATGGTCATCTTTTACGACCTAACAAGTAAAGTCAACTGCAATGATTCACTTAATAAATGTGGCAAGAAAGGTCATAAAATGGGCAAAACTCACTTAACAAATGTCTCCCTTAGCTGCAGAAATTTGGGCTCAATTGTGGTCATAAGCCAAGGATTATCTGTGTATAATTTTTTAATTGTAAACTGCCCAGAGTCATTGATAGAAACTGGATGGATGTGATTAGTTTATTTTTATTTATTTTATTTATTTGTTTGCCAAGCATGTATTAGATAACAAATATAAGTATAAACATGATTATTAATACATAACATGGATAAGAATAAAATAAAGCATTAGGACAGGGATGGTAGGCATGTTGATGTGCTTATGCATGTCCCTTACAGACCACTTATGAACGAGGTGAGGTCAACAGTAGACAGTCTAAGGTTAAAGTTTTTAGGGTTTAGGGAAGAAACCACAGAGTCAGGTAGGATATTCCAGGCATTGACCAGGCTATGTAATTACAATGGGCTCTGGCACTTAGATCTTTAGAGGTGAGTACTCCAAAGTCCTTGACAGAGTGGGGGGTCATTTACAAGGTCATGTCTATTCAGCTTGCATTTTATTTTCTAATGTATTTTTTTCCAATACATAAGCAGAGCATTTGTTTGTTGAGATTTGAAGTTGCCACATGTTTGACCATTCTGACACATAGTCGAGATCTTTTTGAAGAGTAGCAGTATGGTCGGTAGTATTGCATAGTTTTACATCATCAGCGAAAAGAACACAGTAGTTATTATTATGATCACAAAGGTCATTTATGTAAAGTATATCTCTTGAGCTGGTCCTAGAACGCTGCCTTGGGGGACACTGCTATTGACAGGTATGGAATTTGATAGGGCACTCCCTATTTTGACAATTTGTTGCCTGTTTGCCTGTTAGGTTAGATTTGCTGAACTTTCAAAGAACTGTGTTCTGGTCCTCTGAGGATAGTGAAGACTTAGTTGAGTTGGGGACACTGATGGCAGGAGGTGTAGTCATAAAGGTGGGCGGGGCTGAATTTTATCCACATGATCTGAGGGGCAGTGCTTCCTCTCAATTGTTTCTAGTGGCCCCATTAGGTATAGCAGGCTAGGCATGCCACGGGTCCCCTCAATTAAAGCATATTATCTTTTCTGTTGCTGTGCCTCCATTTTAGAACAACACAATCCCTGAGATTAGATTGGCCTCAACCCTGTCAGCTTTCCCAAAGGTTTTGAAGGTCTGGGTGTATTCCCAAGCTGGGCTGTTAAGATTAGTTGGTTCCTGTGGTTTAGCGAAGTGGGGGGGGGGAGTCACGATACATCCAGTGGTGGGATTCAATTTTTTTTTACTACCGGTTCTGTGGGTGTGGCTTGGTTGGCATGGCAGAGGAAGGATACTATAAAATCTCCAGTCAGAGGTGGTATTTGCCAGGTCTCCGAACTACTCAAAATTTCTGCTACCGGTTCTCCAGAACTGGTCAGAACCTGCTGAATACCACCTCTGGATACATCATGTGATAACGATGTGATAACATGTGTTTGATAGCCCTGATATAGATTATCCTCTCTGGTTGATACTGATAAATATATTTCAATCATAATAATTTCCTCCCTTGCAAAATAAGCCCACAGTTTATTATCTTCCACAACTCTGTCTATCCAATCAACTTGACCTAACATCTAGATGTTTTTATGTGCCATTGAACACCCAGTACCAAAGCAAGGTGGACAGCCATATAAATGATCAAATAAAAAATAATAGATTTTTTAAAGGAGGATAATTCTTTCCTACTTTTCTCTTTCTCTGTCTCCCTTTCTCTAGTTTGGCTTGTCCCAGTACTCTGATCAATACGTAGAACACTTTGACTTTCTCCGTTTCAAAGCTACCCCAAATCCAGATGATTTGATTAAACAAGTCTCGCAGCTGAATGGAGCTACTCACACAGCTACATATATCCAGAAAGTGGTGTAAGTATTCATTAGTTGGTTCTTTTTAATTTAACACAACATGTTGGTGTTTGCTTCAGCTGCTTAGCCCAGAATGCTCATTTTTACTTGTATTTAAAAGAGGATCCATGCACATTGTGGTTTTAAAAAACCAGTTTTTATTGCACCAACACAGCTGCTATCCTGATTTTTCAGGATTCAATCTGGGCTGGTCACTCAGCTCCTCTGGTCCCAGTGAAGTATTGGATCATGCAACGTTGTCCTGGGAGATGTATATTTGCTTTTATCTTGATTTTGTTTATCGAACCTCAACAGAATTGTTTTACCAAATTCTTCCAATTTCCTGGGTTTGGGACTTCCATTCAAGTTATACTGCTATGGTCATCGAATAAATCACTGCAGTTATGAAATGAGATGTCATATGACTGTCCCTTGAGATTCTACCAATGGCTTCTTCATTGACTCTGCTTGTTGGAGGCTGGTTGTGAAGCACACACAAATTGCAATCATCTGACTGCAAGTTGCTGTAAACATGAGGACTAGCTGTAAGGTTACTTCTTCAGTACCATCATAATTTTGAACAGTCGCTAAATGAGGCAGTCAGTGAGCAAGGTTAAGACGTATTTTTTGTTTGCTTTTTACCAGAAAAGGATTTAATTTGCAAAAATGTTCATTCATAATGAGTGAATATAATGAATTAATCAGCTCTGATCATTTGCATAGAAAGTATGCTGGATCTTGCTCATAGATAGAACAACAGAGTTGGAAGGGATCTTGGAGGTCTTCTAGTCCAACCCCCTGCCTAGGCAGGTAATCCTATACCATTTCAGACAAGTGGTTATCTAATCTCTTCTTTAAAATTTCCAGTGTTGGAGCATTTACAACTTCTGGAGGCAAATTGTTCCACTGATTAATTGTTCTAACTGTTGGGAAATTTCTCCTTAGTTCTAGGTTGCTTCTATAAGATTTTCACTTTTTTTTCTTTACAGGACATTTATCTGTAGATCATCCTGAAGATGCTTTTTTCAAGAGGCAACTGGACTTTCTGATTTTTCTTTGAAGATGTTTCGCTTCTCATCCAAGAAGCTTCTTCAGAGCTAAAAATGAAACGCTTTCAAAGAATAACCAGAAAAAACCAGTTGCCTCTTGAAAAAGCACCTGTCGGACAACCATGACCCGGAGGACTGAGAATCTCCATAGACACCTGTAGATCATGTTTTTCAGAAATTGGCCGAGAAAGAAGGAAGGCAAAGGTTTAACTTGTTACTACTCTTCTCATTTTCTTTAGGCGTGAAATGTTTCTCCCCGAAAAAGGAGCCCGCAGTGATGCATCTAAAATTCTCATTGTGATAACTGATGGGAAAAAAACAGGAGATCCTCTACAATATAATGATGTGATTCCAGAAGCACAAATGGCTAACATTATCCGCTTTGCTATTGGGGTGAGAACATTAGCAGACCATTATAGATAGTCCTTGCTTAATAACTGGTCGCTTAGTGACCATTTGGAATTATGATGGATTCCCCAAAAGCAAATTATGACCCATTTCTGGAATTTGAACAGCTGCACACACACATCTTATGATCACATGACCACATTCCAGGTGTTTAATCACCCGTACTGCCATTTGCAGAGTTCTAGGGTCAATGTGACCCCAATTTATGGCATTTTTATCAGTTTCCAAACTTTTCAGCCAGTTTCTGGCAAGAAATGCCCATATGAATACTAATAACCATGGTGTCAATTAATAACCATGGCATTTACTTAAGGACCACTGCAAAACAAGACATAAAATCAGATCTAAAATCATTTTCTGCACTGCATGAAAAAAGTACATCCTCCTCCTCTTCTTACCATTTTCTATAGAGATACGATCAAGAGCATCCTGTCGTTTTTCATTACAGTCTGGTTTGGAAGCATCACTGCTTCCTACAGGGAGGTGGTGCAGAGAGTGGTGAGGACAGCAGAAAAGATTATTGGCAGTTCACTCCTTTCTATCCAGGGCGTAACATATAAGTGATGCTTGAGTAGGGTGTGCAGGATTATCTGGGACACTACACATCCTCTTCATGAAGTGTTTTCCTTGCTATCTTCTGGGTGGGGGCTTCGTGGTATCCGAAGCAGAACATCCAGATTCAGACCAATATATATTTTCTTAAGTTTTCGCGGGTACTTACATGTATGGCATTCAGTTTTGTTTGGGTATTTTCCCACATCATTGTAATTGTGCTTTTAAAGTTGTAGTGACGTTTCAGCAGAATCTCATCTGCCATCATCAGGCTTCTGTATACTGTTCATCTGTGAGTCAGGCTTTTATAGTGGTTTAGCATCAGGTCATAGCATCAACTTCAATGGCACCAAAACCCTAGCCACTATAGAAAACCCCAGCCACAGAATCATCAGAGAAGCCATAGAGATTGAAAAAAGACCAGAAAGCATGAATAGAAGAGATGATTCTACCAGACTGTCAATCATTTGGAAGCCTGCACTCACAAACAAAAAAATCTCCACACCACAAGCCAGGCAAACACCTGGGCACAGACAGATCCCCCCTGATACCTCCAGCTCAAACACACCCCAACCAGGCACCGAGATGAAACCTAGCTTCCTAACTAATGATAGCCGTCCATTTACCCGGAGCCAAGCTGCACTAAAGGCCTCCAATAAAGTAACACAATGTTGCCAGCCAATCAAGAGACAAAAAGAGCCAAAAAACAGACAGGAGATATTAGAAACACCAATCAAGCAGAACACAGCAAACTCCAAGACCAATAAACAGACCAAGACTCCCAACCAATCAGGGTGAAGAAAAAAACATTCTGGCACAGCAATAAGCTGCCCCAAATTTAAATCTGAAACCACTATAAAAGCCTGATTCACAGATGAACACTATACAGAAGCCAGATGATGGCAGATGAGATTCTGCTGAAACGTCACTTCAGCTTTAAAAGTACAACTATAATGATGTGGGAAAATACCCGAACAAAGCTGAAT